AGTGGCAGGTTACGTTTACTCATCTAATCCAATGCCTAATTCAGTCTCTTTAATAAAGCATCATCACACCAATGTCTACAACAGCTCTTTAGAAGGAAATATATTGGGAGGAAGGTTTCTTTCCTTGCATGCGAATCTCTAAGCCATCTAAGACATGGACTTTCCATCACTGGCTAGGCTTCACCTGCATGAAAAAACAGCTGGAGATGGCAATGGTCATCAGCAGCAATTTTGCTTTTCTGTGTAGAACAAAATCAGGATTACTGGTTGTTTGTGTTTTCTTATTAAAAGCAGAATGCTAAAGTAATGCTTGAATGCTTCAGTGTTGCTATCTAACACACGCTTCATTTTCATAAGTATTTTTAGACTCTGTGTGTGTGGGGAGGTCAGAGTGGGTGGTTTGTGGGTTAGATAACATACTTCAAAAGTCCCAGTATGAACTGTGGAGGGAAGAACAGCTTAGAAATCACATGCTTCAGCTATAAAAGTAGAGCTTGCCTTTTTTTTTTGAGGCGCTTAGGGACATGGTTTAGTGGGCATGGTGTTGTTGGGTTGATGGTTGGACTCGATGATCTTGGAGGTCTCTTCCAACCTTTAATGATTCTGATATCCCTCAGGGAAAACTGCCCCCTGCCAGCTAAACTCTTAGTTTTCATCTTGAGGTCTGGAATGCTGCCTTTGCCGGGGCTGTCCTCATGGTCCCCAGTGATGACCAATTCCCCAAAACCAGACAGATTTCCAGAGCCTGAAGTGGAAAAGAAAGATGTCTTTACATGCTTAAAACAATTATTTATTTTTGGAAGGTAGATAGTATTTTTGAGCCAATAACATAAGTGATCTTAATTCTTTTGAGCTTAAAGATTTTATTTGCTTCATCGTCACTTCCAAATATTGCTGAGGTCATCTATTTAAAAAAATAAAAAACCTTTGAAGGTGAATAGTTTGTTTTAACAGGCACGGAAACGAAGTCTGAGAAAGAAGAAATGATTACTCAGAGTTGCTCGTACTTTGCCTACATACAATCCGCGTGCCTTTAACTGCAGCACTGGAAAAACAAAAACCTAAAAAGGTGGAGTTGTCCTAATGCCAGCAACATACGCTGGCAAACAGGTGCGTTGTCTATCTAGTTTTGGGTTTTAGACCTAGTAACCGCATTTGGGCCTTTTTGGAGATAATTGCATTTCTGCTGCCTTAACTAAGCCAAAGGTAGAGAGATGTGCCACGCTAAAATCCCTTTCTGAATTGTTATATAGTAGTTTAAAGCCCAAGGTCACAGCTTTAAACCCATCCCTTGGCGAGACAGACCTTCTGCTGTCTCCCTTCAGTTTGAGGAAGGGAATATATTTAGAGGAAAGAGCCACATCCACCTTCTTTACATCCCGTTACAGCTATCTGAAACCAGAGATTTTCAGATCCGAATGAGGGAGAGGGCGACCTCTTTCATGAATGGACCAAAATGGAATGTTTTCATTTCCAATGGGCTTTAAGCCAAGTCAATGTTAGTCGATCCAAACTAGTTTTGAAATTAAATTATTCTTATTTGTTGGAGCATTCCAGAGAATGGCTTTGATCTGTCTGTACTTTCACCAAAGGGATATTGGCAGGCTGGCCTCCCATTTCTAGCCATTCGGGATGAAAGAGGGGTTATAATAACCACCTTGTGTGGCAGTGATACTGAACAGATGACATTTTTTGGACAATATTAGATGAATAAAGGTAAACATACTTCAATTAAAATGTTTTTGGAGGCTGAATGCAATAGTGCTGTTGGAAAGTCTTCTGTGTGGGTTGGAGGAATTTGGCTGCATTTGTAACTGGTTTTCTTTAATTCCAAAATGTTTGAAAGAGAGGGGTTTGTTCTGTGCGTTACTTCCTTCTCAAATAAATAAGTTGTTTGAATATAACTTTTAAAAATCAAATAAAAATTGGCAGTGGACAACGAAATTGTTAATAACTGGGGAGTAGTGATGTGTGTTGAAGGAGAACGGTCTTTCTTATTTAGTTCTTCGCTCTTTTCCTTCTGGGATCTTGGATCACATCACGCACTGTGAGCTGTACCATGCACAGTACAGCTAAGAGGTAGCGCAGAAGACACCTGTAAGTAAACTGAAGCACGCAGCAGTTAAGTGGCATGTTATCAATCTTGCTGAAGATATTTGGAGACAACTTAAAATGTCAATTAAAGAAAAAAAAAATGCTCAGTTATCATATTAAGGCTATTGCGTGTTCCCCTTCAGTCTTTTGCCGGAGGGTCCTCCAGAAGAGGAGGAGGAAGGAGCAGGGTAGTGGGGACCATCCCACTGTAAAGTGCTACTTAGACACAGCTGAAGAGCGTTTTAAATTGGTATCAGCTGATGATAATTTGTGCTTCCCCTAGACTTAAACATGAACTAAAATAAACTGAATTAAAATATAAATGTGATAATTTTGGTTGGATAGGACTGCTGAAGTTCATCTGGTCTAACCACCTCCCAGAGCAGGGCCACCGTCAAAATTAGGTCAGGCTGCTCCACACCTAAAGTTCAGGTATCCATATGAGAAGTTCAGCTATCTTTTTTTAAGCCCCAGCCTAGACAGATTTCAGGTTATGTGGAACCTTTGGTGTTCAGGTTTTTTACATGTATTTACATGTCTTTTGTCAATAATTAAATATACAAAATAGCTTTTCCAATAATGCTGCAAATTAAATTGCTTTTCCTTGATATGGAAGTGACCTTCACGTGGATAGACAGGTGTCTTCTCATGTGCACTGTATGTGGATTTGCTTTTCTTTCACAAGAATTGGACCAGCTGTACGTGATTTCTGAGTTAAATAAAAGAAAAATGTCCTTTAACAGATACCACTTTAAACAATCAGCCCTGTTGATGAGCGTCCTGAAATGTCACCTGCATTTTAAGTCCACTTAAGTACTTTGTGTGTTCATGCCTTAAGGGAGGAACAGTTTGAACAAAGACAGGTATAAAAACCAAAGCATGAAGGGTTTGTACGTTAAAACTTAGCTTTTGTTTTTTTGAACATCCGCTCAAAACTGGATCCATTTGCTTGGAATGGAATATTTAGTTTTCAACTCAGCATGTGAACTGGTCACGCTTGAATTTAAAGCTTGATTTATTTCTTTTTGCACCTGTTTTTATTTTAACACTAACTATGTACAATATATACTTTTGCTACATGGTTCCTTTCTCCCCAGCTGGAAGTCTGGTCTGATATTATCACGTGAGACCTTCCTAAAATGTACATTTGTAACTCTGCAACCTCTGAAAATGCAAACTAGACTCACAGCTCCATTTACCTTTTTTGAATTCGGGGTTTTCTTTCCTGTGTAAGACTGACCCACATATTTGTTTTTAAGACCAGGGGCTGGTTGTGTACTGCACTACAAAACCTTGTTTCTATCAAAACAAGGTGCAGTCCTGCCCCTGGCAAGAGGTACCGGACGGGCCAGATCAGAGGAGGAGAACTGGACACAAACTTAGAGGAGGAAGCTGTGGTAGGGCATAAAAGGAGCTGAGATGAGGGAGAACGGGGGGTGATGTGAGACGGAGCGTGGGAAGCGATGCTAATGTGGTACGGGTGCACGGGAGGGCTTGGAAGCCTGGGATTTTTCTGCAATAGTTATATTTGACAAAGAGAAAGGCCGAACTGAGTGATCTTAAGGAGGTTTTAAATGAAATGACATGCGTATTCGATTGGATATGCAAATTAGAATTACATAATCTGCAAAAAGACTAATAATAATAATATGTTTTCCAGATTTGCAGCCTTAACCACATGCTCAATGGGGTGGTGGCAGAGAGCTGGCTAATGCAGCTGCAGTGTAAAACTGGGACATCCAACTGGTTTTGATCTTGATAGAAAAGGGGCGGAAGGTCACATCACAGTCCGTTGTTCTCAGCGCCTTGTAGCTTATATAATTCTTTGGGCAGATAAATGATGTATGGTGAGATCAAATGAAGATGCGTCACTTAGTTCTGTAGTAACTGCAAGCCATCCTCTTTCCTTGCTTTTCCTTCCCCATGGAAAACTGAAGTTGGTGGATATTGCTTCTGTTCTTGTCCGTGCAGGTGTATGAATTTCAGGTGTATTTACTGTATCCTGTGCTGGGTCAACTGTGATAACCATGTGTGCCCTTTATGAACATAATTTTTGCTGATAGCAAAGATGAGCAAAATGATAGCATATGCTGAGGTGCTGAGATACTGAAACAAAGCCTCCCTAAAACTAAGCGGGAGTGTTCAGCCAACAGATCACGACAGGTTTCAGGGTTTGAAGAACTGCTGGTTTTGATAACGTACAGAGCTTTTCACCAAGGCATGAGCTTATAGATGAGTGAGAAGAGCTACGGCTGTCTGTACAGCCACAGTTATTGGGTTTTTTTTTGTAAGGAAGGTGGAAAAAAACTCAGTGGATATGAAACTTTCGTATCTTTGTGTGTTTATGGATTGTGGATGAGAGTTGCGTTCAGTGATTAAGTTGGTTACACTGGAACTATCAACACGGTGGCTAGCTTGGATGGGGGAAATGTGAATGCTCAAGCAAGAATTAGGGAATTTGTTCATATTTATGAAGACAGAGGCAATTTTAGGCCGCTATCCCAATTCTGTTGTTTTAGCTGTGCATATGTGGGGGGATATGTGTGTGTATATATATGCGTATGTGTGTGTGTGTTTAAAAAACCCTGAGTGGGGTGTGTGCTCATGTTTGTCAGACTTGGTGTGATTTCACCATATTAAGTTGCTATTTTGAATATACCCTTGAGATTTCTACATATCTCTTCCCAGAGCTGTGCTTAACGTATTTTCTAGCTGGTTGGCTGGCTGTGATGCTAAGAGGCATGCTAAGGATAACTTGCATGTCTGAAAATTAGGATGGGCCCCGAGTCGTGTGAAAGGAGTGTATGAACAGGGAGCAGGAGCCTTGTAGGCAGAGAAGTTTTACTTTATATGATGCAGTTCTTGCAAATGTAAACCTCACCTTTTTTTCTTGTCCTTTTCCCTAGGGTGACTCTGTTATTACAGTGCAGCTGACTGAGGAAGATAAAGTTGAAGATGATGTAGTTTTTTACTTGGTCTTCACTGGGTCAACTGTCCAACACTGCACAAGCACGAGAAAGATTAATCCTGGGAGTCTGGAGACAATTTCTCCTGGTAAACAATTGCCTTTCTTTGCATATCAGTGTATCAGTCTATGAAATCTGGTTAATTCAAGGGGACCTAAATGTAATGCTGTTTTGTTGGTTGTCTTTTTCCTCATTTTCCTCATTTACACATTTCCTCATTTACACATCCATAGAGAGTAGAACGTGTGGTTTGGATGACTGCTTTTGCCTTTTAAAAATCTCTTGCTTGATTTCGCTAAAATTATATGACTCTGAGATTGCAATTATTTAATGTGTAACTATGGGATTCTATTGTGGAAAATACAGAGTTATATTTACACATAGTAAAAAGCTTTTAAATGCGAGCAAGATAATGGAAGACACATTTGCCAGGTTAGAGGTGCTATTGTCCAAACGGTGTACAGCCTGGTAAGTCCTAGCTACATTTAGCGTCTGTGAGGTTCATTGCTGTAGTCCTGGTGAAATACAACCCTTTTCCCCTAAATCCTGTCGCGCAGATCAGAGCCAACACAGAGTCTGAAACTCTTGCAGTGGCCGGCAATGTACGGTGCATGGTGCCATCCCTCCAGCACAGCCGGTTCGGATGGGGTGGGTTTTCACATTAAAGCCCCCTGCTCTTTTTAAGCCTTCGTGCCATTAACAAAACAAAACAAATCGGCACAGCATTTTCCTTTGGTGACTTCAGGACCGTGGGAATGAGCATGTTCCAGGCTGCGGTCCTTACCATTAACCTTTCATTCTGATTTGTTGCTGTGCAGCACATTGATACTAGTGTGAGAAAAACGCCTGACGTTTTCACTATACACAGTATAGCTTAAGCGATCAAGTGTATTTCTTGGGTTTGCCTTTTTATCTATCTCATAAGTATTGTTTTATAAGAGATGCATGTGAAGTAAAATTTGAGCTAAGGAGTTTTTCCTCCTGAGAATGAGTGGCTAAAAGTTGGCTGCCGTATTTTTTCATTTCCTCATCTTTTTGTGCTGTTTGGGTTGTTCAGTTGGCTTGGGAAGAGAAGTCTTTTTACGGTTACTGACGATTGGAGCCCCGTGCAATCAATTAGATTAGTGCTTATTTTCTCCCAGAGGAGGGAGAAGAAGGGGTGACTCCTTCCCTGCTTTTGTGTGGCGGGCGCGGGGCGCTGCCAGCCCCACTTGCAATGACCTCACCTCCCCCTCGGGACTGCGGCTGTGTCACCAAGAAAGGAACTGAAAAGCATCAGTGTTCCCCTTCAGCCCGTGTGGGAACTGGCGTACTTGATGGGATTTCCGGGCGGGAGCGATGCTTTCCTATCACCGCTGGCCCTGACATCCTCGGAGCAGTGGTGGATGCGGCTGGGGCGGTGGCTGCCAGGCGGTACCTGCGGCGATGCTCTGGGCTCTGCCTGTCCTGCTGGCTCCAAATATAACTGAGTCACTGGGGACGGCTCCCTGGGGCTCGTTTTGTCGCTGTTAGTGGGAAATCTGACTCCGTTCGTGATTCAAAGGGAAAGGAGGGAATTGCTCTCAGTTGTTCCTTTAGTTATAATGGGCTTTTTTTTTTTTTTGACCCAGTAGAGTTGTGAACTTGTGGCGTGGGATGCTAGATAGGGATGGCTGCTGTCCCAAAATACAGCTCTTATAAGACAAAGATTTAACGGGCATTTCGGAAGGGTAGTCCCATTCCTGCCAGATAGCACTGTCCGGGGCCACGGTGCAAGGGAAGAGGTGACATCTCAGATGTAAAGCAACCATTTGGATAACAGCCTCTTCTGTGCTCATACCTCATTTTGGAGAAACTGCCTGAGAAAAAAAGACTTTAGTGGTGAAGGGGGTGCTGGAGAGAAACAAAACGGAAAAAAAATTTTTTTCATACCCTCCGCTGACACCGATGCATTTGTCCAGTGTTGCTTCAGCACTGACTACTCTGATTTCAATAAGAGCATGACTTATTTCAACTCAGCTCTTCCTCCTCCTCCTCCTTCCTGAACTCGACAGTGAATCTGTAATCATGTGTTTACACTGTATATTCGGCCAGTTGCCTTGGAGATGGTTGTGGTGACTCAGAGCTGGCGTTATTTGACCTCGCTGCAGGATTAGCCATGAACAAGAGACAGTGTGTGCGAGACCAGCCCTTGTTTAAACATCCAGGCCCGGGCATTTAGCAAGTGCTCTACAAGGAAACTCTTGCAAACAGCTTTTAGCCAAAAATCTTGACCTTCAATTCTAGCTTTGAGCATCTTTCATTCGTCCCTGCAATGCAAGATGTGTTGCACGTCCCTGGGAGCACAGCTGCTCCTCACGGACGGCTCAGGTGGATGAAGGAAGGGCTGATTCACTCAAGAGCATACCGAGCCTCTCTGCCTGCCTGCCTTGAATCTCCTCTGCTTCCCTTCTGGGCTTGGAGCGCTTCCCTCATCCTCGTCCCAAGTCCTCAGAGTTTCATGTGGTCCCCAGGAGACTTCAGATGAAGTCCATCAGGGGCTAGGGTGAAAGGGGTAACCATAATTCTGTTAAAGGTAATGTAAAAACAAAACCACATTTTAAATTTTTTTTTCTTGACTTTGTCAGTAGTTTTGGTGATGTAGGGAGGCATAAAAAACAGAAAGAGAAATTATTTGATTACATTTGCTGCCAAAATTAAGTAGAATGTTTTTGCAAAGCTTTCAAAAGAAATCACGTTAAAAAAAAAATCTCAACAACATAAGGTGGTTTTAGATGAGAAATTAAAGAACATGGAATGGAAATATAAACTGTCAGAATACATCTCAAATTCTCATGGTGTGTGAAAATTCTCTATATCCTGAAAGACTTTGCCTAAATAAAAGCTTAAAACTGCAGAGTCAAAAGACTGCTGCATTTTATATTACGAGAGCAGTCTGCCTCTTTCTTACGCTGTCTTCATCAGCAGCCTTAAACATTGAATATATAGTTAACAGTACTGTCCAAATGTAAGCTTTTATTTCTGTGCATAATAAAAGAAAGTACTTCTGATTGTAAATTTATGGGAGCAGCTTTTTTACCTGAAGATGTGCCTAAATGTAGATTCAGAAGTCACTCAAAGGATGAAATACTACCTGTATTTCTGCACTTACTCTGAAGGATGGGATGGGGTGGTTATCCTGCCCCACTATTGACTATGTTACGAATTTAAGGGAAATAATTTCTCCTTGTAAGAAACAGATTCTCATCTGAGCTGATCTGATCTGTCATAACTTGGAAGTATCAAATAAGCTACTGAGTTACAAGAATTAGGCAGTGGATGATGCTTTGTGTGCTTCCAGTAGCTCTTTTGCCAGCCTAAGGACAAACCAGGTTACATCGTCCAACGAAGCTTCTGTTTGCCTTGGTGCAAAGGCACCAAAACCTTATTTAACTATTGCTTTACTGTCGCTGTTAAGATGCTTCTATTTCTAAATGGTCTGGTTCAAATTCTCCGTAATTGAAGAAGTTCTCCTCGGTACCAGAGGCACTCAGTAGTTCCGCAGAACAATTTCAAACACACGCTCATCAGACACTTCCCACATTAAGGTCCGTCTGTGTGGCAGGCAGAGATGCTGTGGCACTGGATGTTGCTCTAGTTTGGCTGTCATTAGTTGCAAAAGCTTGGTCGCTGGAGTTAGGATATTAAGAAAATACCAAAGGTCCGAGCAGGGGAGGATGCAGAGAGATGATAGCAGCTCTGCTGCTATGGCTGAACTGTTGTTGCTGCTGAAATGTTACAGTTGGGGATGGATGTGGCCACTTACGCCACAGATGCTCATCCTACTTAGTGTTAGTCCTAAACTGAGCTTTTCAGCAAGCCTTTATTACTGTAGTAACTGAGACTGTCATAATCTTTAATATATCTTTTCTTCCCAACGTCTCTGCAGAGTAGGGAGGGTAACCGAGACATTGAATGGCCAAGCAGGTTGCACGTGGTAGTGTAGAAAGTCTGTGTTAAAGTGGTGAAGTGAAATTTCATTATAAGACAGCAGCCTCATCGCCTCATAGATCAGCTTTTCCCCTGCTGGAAGAAAAACCACCTTATAATAAAAAGCCTCAAATCGTGATCCGGCAAACAAACCAACAAAAGAAGGAGCGACCTCATCCCTGTCCACATGAGTCAAAAGCCCTGACCACAGCCTGCCGTGGGCAGTGGAGGCATCTTGGCATCAGGATGCTCTCGCGCAGATTTGGGGAGAACTTTCTCACAGGAGAATGCTCACAGAACGAGCTGGTGTGCTGGGAGGTCGAGTTTTTGTGCGGTGCATCTAGTGCAGGTTGTGTGCCGTCACGATAATGGCTGCATTATTGGGCACAAATTTTGCTTTGCCTTTAAAGACTGGAGTGTAGTATCTGGGAACCGCAGAGGAGCTCAGTGGAGGAAATGGGAAGAGACAGTCCTGTGCTGTAAGTCCAGAGCGGCAGCAGCTCCTAATCAAGCGAGTGAAGGGTAAGAAATACCCTATCTATAAGCCGAGTCACTGAAACAATAAGTAAGGTAATTTTGTGAGATATAATTGCCTTTGTGTGTGCTGTTGCAATGTGTTGTAGCACTCTGAGCCTTTGCTCTGTAACACCTAAACCACTTTTTCTTGTTGGTTGATCTCAGAAGGTGCAGGATTCTTGTATGGGTTTGAAAGGGAAGGAGGAGCAAAATTAGAGGCAGAAAAAGGGCCTGAGAGACTGTCTGCTGGTAGCTGCTTGCTAGCAGTTTCCACGGGGCTGAAACACTCCCGTTTACTCCAAATGCCTTGACTCACAGGGAGCTTTCTCTCTGTGCTTAAGCTCAGGCAGAGAAGCAGGTTCTGTCTTTTACTTGTTCTTAATTCCTGTAGTTCTCAGATTTTATTTTTCTCTTACTTTCTTTCTGCTAGTTAAAAGGATAGACTAAAATTAATTTCAATTAGCTTGGAAAAATCTTCATTTCAAACATTTATTGTACTGTGAAATCCTTTACATATGTTCATGTTTTATTCTTTTCTACTACAGACTGTGTTTTCCCCTAGGAAACAACTTTTCATAGAAAAAGCTGTATTTCATAAATTACAATCTTTGTACTGGTAGACCA